ACGGTATCGATAATTCAGTCGATGTCCGACACTCCGAGAGATCGGAGTGCAAAGGGTCAAGCTCCCCGAAGCGTCGCCTTCGCGTTTCGATGCGAGAGCGCGCGGGAAAAGGCGCGATTATTCGAATCGAAGCCGACGACGAGCTTATCGAATCCGGGAGGTCTGCGGAACGACGTGATGCCGCGGTAAATTCCGGTGAAAATATTTGCGACGAAGTCGAACGCGTGGCGTAATCGCGTGTCGATAAGACAAAAATAAAAGGAAGGAAGAAAGAAAGAAAGAAGCGCGGCAATTTTCGAGAGCGCGAAGCTTTGAAGCGCTCTCGGATAACAGAAGTGTGATTTACCGTTGATATTTTGCGGGCGACCCGTAAGCAGCCGCAGAAAATAAGAATTCCGCATGCGCGAATCTCTCTCTATCTCTCTTTCTCTCTCTTTCTCTATTTTTCTCGCTCTCGGAGAAGCGACTTTCGAAGTTCACCTTCGATTCCGCTCGGAGGGCACCGCGGCCCCGAAGTTCGTTTCACGGGAGAATCTACGTGTATTGTTATCGCTGATTTCCCCCGCAAGGAGAATATTATTATCGGAGATTTCTTCGGGCGGAAATATTAACATCGCTGACCCTCCTTCGCGGCGAAACCTTATTATCGGCTTCACCGCGACGGAATAATATTATCGTCCGTGTTTTTCTTTCCGCCAGGATATCCGTATTACCGGGCTCTCGCCGGAGAGAGAAGAAGAGAGAGGGAGATAGAGATAGAGAGACGCAGAGAGAGAGAGAGAGAGAGAGAGAGAGAGAGAGAGAGGGAGAGCGAGAGGGAGAGCGCGCGAGAGAGAGTGGGGGAGAGAGCGCGCGAGAGAGAGAGCGCGAGTGAGAGTGAGAGAGACAGAGCGCGCGAGAGGGAGAGCGCGAGAGAGAGCGCGAGAGAAAGAGAGCGCGAGAGATAGCACGCGAGAGATAGCGCGAGAGAGAGAGAGAGAGAGAGCGCAAGAGAGAGAGAGAGAGCGCGCGAGAGAGACAGACGTTATCGCGCAGAGATATTCGCCAGCGGGGATATCGTTTTCAATATTTTCCTTGCCGAAACTTTCGATGGCACTGTTACCCCGCCGAAGAAGAATCGCTTATCCCCCCTCCCTACAGCGACGGAAACGTTTTGGCTCCGGCGATTCTTTAAACAGAGATTTCGCGACGATGCTTTTTGGTAAGCTGCCGACATACTTTCGGGGGATGGTCTTCCCGGCGTGGCGTAACTCTTTCGAAATTGGACCGGGTGGCCCGTGATTATTCGAGATGCCGAATGAATCGGTGCATTGGGTGGCTCGTCGCGCGTTATCACTTCGATTTGAGTCGCAGTGCGTAAGTGTTTGGACACCGGATAATAGACGATTAAAAGTTGCATAATTTAATCTTATTGGTATTCCTTTATTCTTGAATATTTTATGTGTGAGGTGCGAGCGAAATAAAATATCACGATTCTATCATTGATTATAATCTGACGCGTTATATTATATATAATATATATTGTATATTATATAAATCAATTATGTATTAATATACATATTGTACATTATATGTATAATATATTCTATATTAATGTATATACTGTATGTTATATATAAATATATTATATATTAATGTATATTGTATACTATATATAAATATATTCTATATTAATATATATATTGTATATTATATATAATATATTCTATATTAGTATATATTGCA